CACACACACACACACACACACACACACACACACACACACACACACACACACACACACACACATACACACACACGCACGCACGCACGCACGCACGCACGCACGCACGCACGTACGCATGCACGCACACAAATGCTGATATATATATTAAACAAAACTTTGAATTATGAAAATGAATATTTCATTGTTTCTGAAGAAGGCTAAAAAATTAGTCGAAACATGTAAGCATAATTATTATAATAAAAAAAGTTTTATTTGATATATATCAGCATAAAGTTATCTGTGCTTGATTCCTAGTGCCCTTTTCTCTCTGAGTTTGTATTTGATTTATACAGGAGTTTTTGTTATTTTTAAAAAATTATACGTTTTTATATTCTATATCTTTTCTGTATTTATAATTTTAGATCCTTTAATAGTGAGTCTTCGAACATGTCGGGGAATCAATCTAAGATGTTATTGAAAGAAAATAGAGACCCTTGCGCGAATCATGTAACAGAAGTTTTCGAACATCTCCCGTAAGAGACTTAATATCTTTTACATATATGCTATCAAATATTTATGAGATGACAACATTTCTATACATAACAATTTTATTACAGGAAAGTGGAACAGCGACAACGCCAGCGAAGCAGAGGAAAAAAGAAACAGTTAAAGTCCAAGATTGCCATAAAAGTTTCAGATAAATGCGATGATACAAATCCGCCGACCCTGGCAAAATCGAAATCGTACCATTGTCAAACGCGAACGATGATACCGACAAAATCGTCGAATAACATCGAACAGCATCATATCGAGTCCACCCCGATTTGTAGCAAATCGAGAATAAAAGTAATCCACACATTGAGAAAGATCATTGATAGCGTTAAAGAAAACGACGATGAAGAGGAAAGTGTTAAGAAAAATAATGACATTGATCACGATAAAAACGACAAGATTCAAATGTCGCCAAATGGCGACACTTTGCAGAATGACGAATATATTTCTGTAAAAGATATAAACTTAGATGAAATAAATAGATCTTCTCAGAGATCAATAGGCACGCAGATGAAATTAGATTCCTCTTTGTATTACAAAATTGATGCTGAAAAGAGAGAGGACCAAAATCTGACAGAAACTCCAAAATTAACTCGAATTGTTGGAACGCAAACATTGCCAAGTTATGTTAGAAATGTAGTTGAAATTGGATGCAATACTCCTATTATCATATATAAGGATGTAGAAGTTTCCTGCGATCTGATAGGCTCCACAGACTTGAGGGGAGAAATTGAACCAACTATAATTGAAGATAAATCGACATCAAATGTTCATACGGAGCCTTTGTCTATTAAACATATTAAAGTTAATATTGAAAATGAAGATATTAACGAAAACAAAGAACTTCTGCTTAGTGAATGGAAAGAAACATTAAATACAGAGGCGAAGTTAAAATTAGAAAATTGTGACAGCATAGAGATTCCTGCAAAAACTATAACTAATGCTACTGGAGAAACAAAGAAGACTATGCGTGAAGAAGTGTATCAAATTTCTTTAAAACCATTTAAAAATTCTATCGATGAAACAAACGTTGATATTGATAAAAAACAAGAATCTACGAAATGTTTCAACAATTACAATGTAAAAAGTAATACTTCAGTAAATAATCTATTTTCAGAAGAATCTCGATCATCCATCTGCAATTACGATACATCTCGCTCTTCAGAAGAAATGGTGGAATATCTCGAAGATGACATCCAGCATAAAGATGTGGTCATGTCAGAATCAAAAATGGAAGATATACCGAGCGATATAATCGCAGCTTTTGAGCTTGCAGCAAAGCGTGGGCGCAATCTTCACGAAGCAGTCACTATTTATCACAAGAATTTAATGACAAGGGAATTTAGGCAGCAAAATGAAGAGAAAATTGAAGATTACGATACGTTAGAGTTCCACGATGAGCAGAATTGTTTCGGGAAATATACTTCTTTCATGAGTCACGAAAATGAAAGTAAGATTAGATCTGATTGCGATGTAATATGTCACTTCATAAATAATAAAGATTTCAGCGGATTTTCGACGTGTTCGTCGCGTGGCAGTAGTTCCGATCGAACATGCGAAACCAAATTTCTGAAATCATCGAAAGACAATTATGGAATAAAACAAGCAGTTTATGCTTTTCCAAGAAACGATCAAGGGATATCAATTTTAAACAAACGGACTGAAGAGGACTATGCAGTCGAACTGTTAGAATTAGACAATAGTGATGAAAGTTTTGAAATGGAAAAAATGAAACATAATAAAATTTTAGCACTTCCCGCGGCGACTAAAAATACTTCCTTTATATCGCGCGAGTATTTACTTTCTTTTATTTATTGCATTATTTATACTGTAGTATTTTGGTATTTGCAATTTTCATTCCAATGTGACTCGAGGAAATAATGTTCGTGTGGTTATATTATATATTCAAACTCGAGACAATATAATATTAATTTCATCGATATTCATTTAAATATTTCTTTTGGTTTCAATAAATATATTCTCTGTACATGTTGAAATTTTATTTTGTTGTATTTGTTATATATATTTGTTTATTGTACGTTTTGCATTATATAAAAATATAAACTTATGAAAACTAAGAGAGAAATGTATGTAGAAAGTTTCTATCTTAAAGTAACGAAAGTAATTTTATAAAAGATTGTATAACAATAAAGAAGTTTTATAATACTGAACAAAAAAAAAAGTTGAATAATATTTTTACCATTTCGACAACATATCCTGTGCATTAAAAATGTCTTTCTCATTAATTGCATTGTATATCATTTTCATCGAAATCCTTAGCTCATTATTGTACATACTATTGAAATATTAATACATATAATTGTTGAAAAAAATAATCGAAACTGATTAATGCAAATTGTTTGCAAAAAGATAAATATACAAAAATGATTGCATTAGTCAGTACAATATCCAGATGAAGTCAAAATTATTTCGTTATCACATAGATTAAATGATTCAGCCAAACGCATCTGATATTAGCATAATGATTGATTTGAATTAAGGTCAAAATATAAACTCGAATCGCGTCACGTAGCTATTCATTCGGCTTCAAGGACATCGACAGTTGCGCAACCGGTGATATCGACCAATTCTTTTGAAGTGAAAGTGGCGATTATCTTCTGCTCTCCGGGCTTTTGCGGCACGAGCTGATGCTCCACATAAACATCCTCCTCAGGCCTGACGTCCCTGAAAGTTAAAGTCTTGTTCCTGGAAAGACCGGGCCCAGCATAGTTAAATTGGCAATTGGTCAAGGTTCTCTTCAAGGGATTCTTGAAGCTCAGTGTGATGGTCGATGGTTGTCCAACTACTGGTTCACCTTCGATCTGTAACATTAAAAATAGTTCAAAGAAAATTTTCTTAGTAAAAGAAAATTTTTAGATATTTGTATGTATAAAAACTACATAAATGATACGATAGTTATAAATTAAAAAAATAAACAATTATTATTTTATATAATCTGTTCTAATATTATATCTATGTTGCTGGATCTAATTAATTTGCAAACATCAAGAAATATTCACAGATAAGCGATTTTAACAATCATATATAAAAAGAAATATAAAATGCATTAAAAAATTGTAGAAGTTAAAAGTAAAAATCATTAGCCTTGATAAATTTCAAATAATTCGAATACCTATATTTAAAAAGAAACATGTATTTAATAAAGATATATTTGATAGACATTCAAAAAAACATGTATTATAAAAAAATATATTTCATATATTTAAATATTTAATTTGAAACTTATATAACATCAAACTAGCGAAGAAATATCTAAATAAATTTTCAAGAAGATTCTATTTTATTTTCCTTGTACCTTGACATCGATATTCGGTTTTAAAACTTGAAAATCATCTTCGTCTGCCCAAGTTTGCCGAGTTTCCTTAACTGTGGCGATACAATATAGCTTCATAATGCAATACTCCACCAACTTGTCCAGATAATCGTTTAGTGTCACGGTGAGCCTTAATTGTTCCGCTATAATGAATTGAAATAAAAATGATAATCTGAACGTAAATTACGTATCACAAATAACGTAGTTTATTTGAGACAATTAGCGCAAAAACGTCAAATAACAACGCAATAAAAAGATACACGATTCTTTACTTATATTCACTGATTACCCAATAAATTATCATCATCTAAGAATTCCAGAGAAATCGCAACCAAGCTGATTAGCTAAATCAATCATTAATGATTAAGCATTAGCATTTAATGCTGCGGAAATTAAACGCATTAAATGTTGCAAATTTAATATTTAACAAATGCCAAATTTATTAATGTTAATATTAGATTATGTTTATAAACATTTCGAGTTTCTTATATGTAAATTAAAATTCCATTAAAATATATCGATTTATTTGGTCGTCATAATTCTTTGATTATTAATTGCGATTCAAGAATTATCAACGCTTTAACAAATTATCGTTTTTATTTGTCTGCTTCTAATGTTAATTTCATTCCTGTAACATTAAATGATTTTTGCCGCGAGCGTTTTTGAAAAAAAAAAAAATAAGAATCTTTTTCTTACTGGCATTTGGTTGAAGCACGAAGTCGCCGGAAGCTCTCTTCACCAGGTTCGCCTTAACTCCAGTATAGTAAACGCTGCCGGCTGACAAGATAGCCTGAATAGTGCGCATTTCATCGGACTTGTTCTTAATGCTCACGGTCACTGCAAACGGTTCGCCGATGTTGACGCGTTCGAGCTCGACAAGATCGAACTCAACATCCTCTTTACCTGGAGACGGTAGCGAGTAAAATCTTTTTGCCATCTCGGTACTACGCACCGCCCTGTACAGAGTCAGTCTCTCGACCTCGGTACCTAGAAGTCAGTTAAATTGAGTTTGCAATTGATTGTCCAAGAAGATGCAAGAGGATGAAAAACATAGAATATTAATATAACACGGATTATCAATTAGTATCGTAAATAATGGAAATACGAGCCAAATTTTACTGATAATTTTTAAATACAAAATAAGCAAGTAAGAATTCTTACTTGCTTGTAATTGTATTTCCAAGAGTTAACTCTTGGAAATAAAATTACAGAATTAAATTAAAAACAAGACTAATAAAAATCTAGTAGGTACATTGCGTTATATCGTGTAAAAATAATAAATCGATATATAAAGACAAATTGAACGTTTTGACTCAAATTTGAGTTATCTTCAGCAATAAAGTGCAGTAGTAGAAATAAACTCAAGAGTTCAAGAATCCGAATTCAAATCAAGACTTTTCAGTAAAACGTGAGATAAAATTCCTATCATTTAAATCATATATTTTTATTTGTACTGAAGAGATAATAACTCGAGCTTAACCAAAACGTTGAATTTATTTCTATGTATTAATTAATTATTTTATACAATATAACTGCGTACTATAAGTACTCGAGCTTATTAGTCTAGTTTTTAATTTAATCTATATACGTTTATTATTGCATAATAGAATGTAGATCGTTAGAATAAAAATAATTTGCTTGCATCACTTACCTTCCTTGGCTTTATAAAGTGACGTTATGTCCTGCCTATCCTTATCTCCATTAGGATCAAAAATCCATGGCGCCTTCGTTAAAATCATACGACCGATGCTGTGAAAATATAATTATTCGCATTTGATTTTCAATATGAGCGAAAACGTGTCTCCTTATAATGTCTAGACCTTTTATTATTCAGGATCAGCAATTATTGCTTTACAAAAAAAAATGAGATGATACGATAATTAATCAAACATGTAATGGGATTATTAACTAGTACTACAAATAATAAAGTAAGAATAACGTATAAGAATAGAAGCGGAATTTTTATCACTGGAAACTCCTATGACGAGATATGAGAAACAATTAACAATGTGCGGAATAATAGATAATCCATTACAATGACTTTTATCGTTACAACAAGTCGACCGTCAAGTCTGCCATATTTATGTTGCGTTTTGCATTATCTATTTGCAGACGTAGAAATGCCTCGCGGAAATTATGCAAATCACGACATATCGTACACAGTAATTCATGCCTTATGATGTATCGAAGGACAATGTAATCGACGAGTTGCAGGATTAGCAAATAGCGCAAGGTTTGCGTTTCCGCTTTCGTCACACCCATCGTTTACTCGTCCAATGTTTTTTATGTATTTCACGCATCATAGTTGTCATAGCTATTTCCGTCCGTAACGAATTTGCGGTGATCAGCAAATGCGTTATCGATGAATGAAATCATCACAAAAGAATATCGGATGAAACATATAGAAAGATTCTTTGGGACAGCCTCGAGAGATATTAATTATTTTATGAGTGCTTTCGTACGTTAATTAAATAATCGCTTCTCTCGATAATATTCAGCAATCAGAAATTATTAGTTGAACAAAAGTTATAAATTAAAACTTACAATTTAAATTGGAACAAAATATAATACTTTAGTATAAATTATATGATTTTCAAAATATGTATAAAAAAATACTATTAGTACATTTTTTAAATATTAATAAAAGTTTTATACTGTTCGATTCGCAATTTTATTTTTCTTTTCTTTATTTTGTGAAAATATTCAATTTTACTTCGTAGAATATTCATTTTTGATACACGTAACTTTATTTTTTATGAAATTATTATGTGTCTCGGATCTAAAATTATAACATATCCAGCGCCCTAATCAGTATTCGTTTTGAAATTTCTTTTACAACTAATTTCTGTATACTGGTTCATTTATAATAATTTAACTCAATGTATCTTTGCTTAACGTGCTTAATTTTTAACGATATATTTTTTTATTTTAAAGTCAAAATCGGAGGAGAATAAAATTATGTAACTTAAATAAATTATCTAACATTGTGATAAACTTTCATATAAACAATTTTTACATCGCAGTTGGAGAAAGTTCGCGAATATCTACGATTAAAGCTAATATTATAAGTCAAAATTTTTTTCTCGAAAAGTACAACAAAAGCGCCGTACTTCCAACAAAGGTTTACCAAAACTATTGTATACTCACTGGTACTTGTTGCAATCAATCTTGGAATATCCCAAATCACTCTCCGGGTCCTCCTTCCATCTCATCAGATCCGCGTTCACAGATGCCACCATGAAGGTCACATCATAATTGTAACCAACGGCACCTTCCTTGATAGCCTCCACCGACGCCGGACCGCATTGATAAAAGTTATTTGACTGCTCCTGAGGAGTGGCGTCGATGGCCTGCCAGCCACCGTAACCCTTAGGAAGATCCGGTCTCGCCATCCACACGTCGTTCCATACATGATAGTTCCAGATAGAGTCCTCGCCCATGGGATTGTTCGGATCGTACTCGAGTTCCTCGTTATTTAGATCGTAGTAACGATCCACCGATAACGAGGCATTAGCGTCATGGGCCGATACCAGATTGGACACCACTCTCGACGGAATTCCCAGGGCACGACACACCGTGGTGACGACACCAGCGAAAACCCAGCATTGACCGTATTTTACCTCATTGCCAGTCTCCCAGAACTGCTCGAGGATAGGCACACTTCCGGTCCAAGTGGCCGGCGCGGTACCGTCGCTGTATTCGCCATCCCAGCGACCGGTTAGCACGCCTTTATCATCATTTGAATTTACCTAAAAGCGATTCTAACTTGAAAATAATTTAAATGGAAAAAGTACTATATATAGCCATTTTGAATTTTAAAATAAACTAAATGTTGTACTATTTTCATTCGTTTCTAATTATTTTCTCTAGAATAAGAATAAGTAATCTTGTGATATATCCTGATTAATTTAATTAAGTCACAACATTATATCTCATTTCAATTATAAGCGGAAATTAGACGGATAAGAACGAATTAAATAAAAGAAAGAATTCTATTTTCGAATTATGTTGTCGAAACAGATCTTGATGCTTAATAAGCTTAACAATATTTAAATACAAATTTGCAAACACATTTTTTTAGTTTTATACACAATGCACACACTGATTCAGTTTATCAAATTTGAAATACAAACATAAACTGAAGCAGAAAATAACATGACAAACATTGATCGTTAATTTAATGATAAATTTTATGATAAGTATCTTAAAACACTATATATAAAAAAAATAACTTATTGCAAAAAATAATTTCAGAACTACTAAACTAAAAAATGTATATTTTCAAATTTAAATATTATTAAACATACCAAGATTACAGCTTCGACAGAAAATAAGTCTTTCTCTTATTTGATCGAATCATTTCAGTTACCAATTTTAAAACAAATCCTAGATAAAGATATATCTTACGATTCTCGAGATTGCTCGAACCATCTTGACTGGATCGCCCCTGGAAATCGCCTTAATACCGGATCTTTCGAGCAACAATTGGCAAGCTGGTAACACACACGCGTCGAATTGCCCAAAGACCCATTCTCTACCACGAGAACTACCCCATGGACCTACCCATATCTTCCCAACATCGTTCAGGATGTATTCATCGAGCAATTGTTCATCCTCCATGTACACCAAATCCTCTGCATTATGTTTAATCATATTTCTTCAACATTTTATAATTATTCGAAAAGAAGATCAATTATAACTTATTTAGTAAAAGCAGTTGTGAAGAAATATTCATACAAAATCAACACGAAGCCTGCTTTGAACCAAGTTCACAAAGAATTAAATATTATAACAAAAACAATTAGCCAATTCTTCTCTAATGCCAAATAATTCGTTTTAAATTATATCAAGTGATTTCTCAATCTTTTAATGTTTATAGAGCTAGAAATTAATTTCGATTGAGAAAATATTTTACTAAAATATCAGATTTAAATCCCATAATATATTTAGTTTAGACATTCGGAAGTTGTTGATTGCGCTCAATTACGTACCTTTCAACCACGGGTTGAAGAGCAAGTAGATATCTTTATCATAACTGTAAGTATTCGGCGCTTTCCTTCTGCCGAGAGTATTGGTCTCCACGTTCAATTGCCATACTCCAACGGGGCTGTCGATCGGACTTCTGACCTCGACAGATAAATCCACCCCGTGAGCACCAATCATACGGACACCCCAAGCCTCCAGATCAGTCAGGTAAGCTTCCCTGTTGGTGATTGTATTAACTCCTCTGGTGCCCCGCAGCACATTGGGGTTCGGGCCGAAGCTGAAGAGTAATCGGACAATATCAGTTTCGTCCACGTACTCGCGATTGAATCTCAAAGCCATATGGAAGGCTTGTCCTCGTCGAAGGACGGGAATCGCCGGATCCTGATGGACCATCTCGAAGTTGAAGGTGCGATGGGACTCGGCATTCTCCTTCTCGTACAAGTACACTGCTTCAATTTCCAACGGCTCCTCTGACATCTAAAGAAATCAATAAAATAAATTCATCACTGTCACGTCCTAGCTTTATTTATGAGAGAGAGAGAGAGAGAAGACAGTAAATGATGACTATGGGTGATGCCTTGGCATCGGCGCGGTACTTTTTTTATTTTTTATGCGTCTCTATTCGCAACGCAAATCTTTATTTATTGTGAAAAAGTGTTTCTTTTCCTTAGGAATAATAATCGGTTTTTAGAGACTGCCAGTTTATTGCTTCGATAACATAGAGCGTTGGAAGGAGGAAAGGGGGATAAATAGAAAAATGTGAATGCGCGATAGACGTAATTTCTAATGACGTTTATTTGTAAAACTGAAAACACTTTGATTATACAATCTAAGTAGTGGCTATCGATTAAGCGTATGTAGAACTTGATCAGTTCAGTCGTTATTGAGATCTGATAATCTCAATCTATCGATTGATTTACGCTCGCGTAAAGGAGGCACGGCAGTGTCGCTGCGCTTGGCTTGGCGCCAAGACACTACCGTGTCTCCAGATAGGCTCTATTTTTATTATTCGCGGTTTGCTGCTGATGACCCGCGGTCGAGTGGGTCTGCATAGGGGTGTTTCGTAGGGGGTCGACGAGGTGGAGACGGTTTGGCACTAACCGGTGGTGGCGGAGGCAGCTTGCCGCTAATCGGTCTGGAGGGTGCCGGTGGATCTCTTGAGAGAGGTGTTTCGGCGATTTCTTCACTCCAATCCTCGGTAAGATCAAAGTTGCTAATCCGGTGGAGGTCGCGGATGATCTTGCGTAATTGTCGGCGCCTACCCGCTCGTTTCCCGCGCGACCTTTTTCCCATCGCTCGACGAAGTTAAATAATTATTGGAGCGATTCTCTAAAGATTTTTTTATCTAGAAGATAAGGAGAGGAGTCGCTGCAACGAGCGCTTCCGTGACGGAAAGGATTTCTCATCTTTTGTTTGGTCGTTCGGCGCGTGTTTAGTTGACACCGATAATTCTATTGTTTGTTTTAGCTCTTTTTTCGCGAATGCACGTGGATATCGTTAAAGATACAACTCTAGATTTTATTATAACTATCGTTCGTCTCGTCTATTTTGAGCATCTGACTGCATATCTCTTATGCATCTAAGGCAATGATTCTGTTGTTATTTGTCACTATGCAACCTGTATGGCTGTTAGAATTCCCTGATTTTTGGATGAGAGAGTTGCAAGTGCATCCCTTGCTTAATTAGGATGGTGCATCTGATTGCGCGCGCACACACACACATCTGATTTAATTTTTAATTATTAAATAATTCATTAAATAATCGGCACAAGCGCATTGCGTTCGATTTTGACGGTCCACGGAGCATAGCTTATACCCGGTATTACCTTGTAGTTAAGTAGGAACTATGCTAGCGCTGTATAGTGCGTGTTCTTACGAACAGGGTGCGTGTGTATAGGCGTTACAATCACGTTATATGTTCATTACATTATAAGCATTAACTACATGTGATTATGATACATGTGGAACTAACTAACTCATTTCACCGGGTTCTTTACTTAAAACAGAATGTTCTGAAAATATTAAGAAATGTCTTTTTTCTAAAAACTCTAATTCTTAAATTGTTTTAATCACATTAATATATTATATAATATTATAATTAATCTAAAATATTTAATAATATCCATATAAAATTTCGTATATCAATACGCTCTAAAGCAGAGATATATTTTTTTTTTTTTAGCAATCATGTTATAAATATTAGTTTTGTACAGAAGTAAAGTAAAATTTGATGCGTCAATAATAATTCTGCAACTTCATCTCTATAGGCATTGTTGCAGCCAAGACGTGTTCTTATTGTCGGATCGATGAGTGGTCAGTATCCGTCATTGATTCACTCGGAGACATTGCGTAAAAGTTCGGGAAAAATTCCGAACGCGTAATCCGCGTAATCGTGTCCCGTAAAAGGACGATCGATCGACCGGCGGTGTCAAACGACCTCGATCGTTGATTCATCCGATGCCATTTCTGCACAGGTGAAATGTGGAATTCCACCTGTGTGAAATTGCGATACTATACTTGCAGCTCACGCATTCCCGATCATCCGGTGAATTATCGTGAAAACCACTTGCACATTTTTATATCATTTATAGAAATGAAACCGGTATTTCAAGACAATCACCCCGCTCCCCTCATTTAAATAAGCCGTATTATGCAAACCAGGCACGCTTCTTCGTGTTGTTTTGAAAGCGAGTTATATTCTGTGATATTATAATCAAAAAAAGTTTCGTTCTTATGAGTAAATCTCAACTTGATAATTTACAGCAATATCACCAGATTGCTATAAATAAAGCGGAATCCGTAGATAAGCAGCAAGATTTAAAATACGCGCATGATATAAACTATAAAGTACGAATAATATTCAGGGAATGGAGAACAAGTAAACTAAATCACTGCTTGATAGAAAGCGAATAAATTTAAATAATTTAAGTAATTTAGCACAAAAATATTAATTTAAAACACAACAATAAATAATATAATAATTTTATTAATCACAGAAATATACATTAATTAATAAAATATATAATTAAACAAATATATAATTGACCTTTCTTATGCATTAAAAAAGTTTAAATTAATATCAAATAATTATATTTATCAAATAATTATATTTATATACACAATAATTATTTATATACAAATTGATTTTGACATAATAATATGTTTGTGTAAGCAAATTCACATATTAAAATTTTATTGGACGTATCTTGCTATCTTTTAATGTTATAACAATAATTAATTTTATTATATATACTTTCCGAATTTTTTCATCAAAAACTGTATTATTGTTTCTCTCTCTCATATCTAATTTTTTAATTAATATTATTATATAAAAGCAATAAATTTGAACTTACCTTGTACGACTTTGTTAAAAACGAACGGTGAAATAAACCACGAAACAGAACAACCACGAACGATAATAGATTTAAAAGTTACACCGCAACTGACGTTTGTAAATGCGTCCCTACCTTTTATATGAGATACAGCTTCCTACACGGAGTAACCGCAAAGTCCCCACTACGGCAATAATCGCGTGAAGCATTTAAATCTCTGAGTAAACGAATCGATATGAAGTCAAAATGCGCATTATGAGTAACTTTATTTAAAAAACCGATAAATCAATTAATAATTAATTAATAACTGTTTAAATATTTATCTGTTGCTTAAAATAAAATGATCTATTAAATATAACTTTTGAGAGAACACAGAAAACGAGATTTCGGTGAGTTCTAATCCTTGACGAAGATTAGTTTAACTAAAATTTTACAAAAAGTATTTTTGTTATAAGAAAAAAATAAGATTAACCTGATGTTTATATAACACAGTGCGCTTCTTTATATTATATTTAAATAAATTGTATTTATTTAATTAATATTATATTTTCCATTATTTTATATTTTATTTTAATAATTATTTTTAATTACATTTAAATAAATTAAAAATAAAAAAAAATAGATGTTTTTAACTAATAAGAAACATTAAAAATCCAAAAATGATCTATAAATTTTTTTAATAATTGTAATTTTAAAATTATAGGTATAAAATAAATTGATACAATTTTCAAATTTAACATATAAATTAAAATTAAACTTATAAAAATTATTTTACATTTACGAAATGAAGAAACTTACATTGTAGTGGCGCTGAAACTAAATGAATTATAAAAAATTTGATTCAAAAGAAAGAAAAATATTCAATTCTTCGATTATTCTTTCAATTTATATATATTATTCACATCTAAAAAAATATAGATAGATGCTGTTTTACATTCTATCATAAATGTACAATGGAAATCATTATTTTAAAAATCAGTTTCTCAATCATAATACGCGCAAAAAAGCTAATTTGATGTTATTTATTTGAAATAAAGTTTCTAATTAAACGGCCGTATCTTATCAACTCACGATGTAGCGGTAATTAACTTGATAAACCGCAAGTTCTTGTAGGTGGATGTTGCGGTCAATTTATAGATTAACCGCTGACGATGGGAAATGCTTGCGTAGAAGGAAATAGGGTGGATACGGAGTAAGGTGAACTATTTATACAATACTGAATTGTTTTCACAAATTTATTTGCGTCCTGTGTGTATCGAGCTACACAAATTATGTAGTAAATTATTGGTCTGTAGTTGTTTTTGGATTCCTTCCTGCCACACGATTCCTCGCGTGCGCGCAATAATTGCGAGATCCAATAATATAATTGCGGGCACGAATCTCTATTCCTTTCTGCGGCCTCGCAATGTCATCGTTAACAAATATACCTTCCCATTGTGTACTTCACATATCGCATTTAAAGATCACTCGCCCAATATCTTTCACAATCTATCTTTGTAAAGCTAAGAGAAACGTAACCCTTTCGCGATCCCATTCTTTAATTTCTGTTTCGAAATAAAATATATTCATAACATAAATATATTAGAAACTTTTACATAACACATAAAAAAATTATATATAACATACAGTGTATAACAGTAATGAGAACAATCCTTCCATACTTAACAGTTCATCACAGATAGACAGCTGAGATAGAATTTGAAAATTTCTATCTCAGCTGTCTATCTCATCAAAATAAATACTAAGATATTTAAAATCGATATGTGAAGCACACGACCGACATCAATCTTGCAGCACATACACATTCGTATATATCTTTAAATAAACGGACCGTGTGTGTTGAGCACCCATCTAAAATGTCTAAAAACATTACAGTAAGGCAAGTAGCAGTCATACATAAACAAGAACGAGGAATAGATACTATCGACTACGTAATACAATTAACTAACGCAACATCCGCTTCGGGTAATTTCCGGATCGGGGATTCATCGTCTTGTGTGCTCCGCAGTTTTTTTTTTCTCTCAATCATCATGTTTTACGCTTAATCGCGGTCTATAGGAGTTGCGTCGTTTACGCAAAATCGCGGAAAAAGTGCCCTTCTTGCTGCCGATTTATACGATCATTGATTCTGTGATCACCCACAGAAAATTAACAAAGTCATGAATAAAAACTATTTGACACATATACACATGGTTTATAAAATAAGAGATCATAGAAATGAGTTAAAGAAAATTATACATGTCTATCCTTTTAAATGAAAATCTGATTCATATTGTTATATAATGTGAGTCAATATCTATATAAAATTAATTTTTACAGGAGAAATCTATATTCTGTTATTAATATTAATACGTCAAATATATAACCTTTTATTAAATTTATTAAATTAAATAAATTTAATAAAAATTATCCACTCTCATATTAGAGAGAGGAGACAATTATTACACAATATATTATTATTGTTAGATAACTGTTTTGTCGATTATTCAATTTTGTGTGAATAATCAAAAATCGATGACCGATAACTTTGTAACGTCGTTTTCGTTGTGTGTAACGAATCTCAATATGATTTGGCATAACTTTCCTCTAGGTAACATGTTTTTTTAACATTGACTCCCTAATGTGGCGGAAAAGCTGTACAAGCGCACGATAATCGACAGGAACGAGCATGTTTTCGTTAAAGGTATTTCAATTTTTTACCAAATTTGGCACAGGACTTGGCTGTCGCGTTTATTGGCTACGATCCTCGCAAAACGTCTCGATGTCTTTTTCTAATTTCTCTCATAACCAATCGCCGTTAATTTCCGACATGAGATTGCTTCCTCAGATTTAATTCATCCGCTACGCAAAAATAAATAAATAAAATAAATATTCTAATTTTATTTTCTTTCTTCTTATTTGTTGGATATCAAACAATCAAATGCATTGTGCTACTAAAGTTAAAACTTGATAAACGATCTTTAAATTAATATATATTTATTCTTTTTTTTATTAAGTTTTAAATAATGTCCTAAAAAAATATTCTTATTTAATTATCTATGCTCGAAAAGAAGCAATCTCGTCCAGCAATAAGTCCGTAAAACTAAATGAATTAAAAATCATGTCAAAACAGATTTATTTTTCGAAATTGAAATTCCAATTTTACGGAATATATTACTGTTCATTCATCTCAATCCTCTCATTTCTGTACAGACAGTTTCTCAATTCAATTCTTCCTCGAAAACATAGATATCGGAAACGGCTAATCCATAATCTACTTTATTATCCAGATGACAAGACATCTCAAAATTGATATCTCCGCGATGTGGATCGAAAGATGATATTATTTATAAATTCCACAGGGGTTCATTATGTTATGACAATATACAACAGATCGAGTTTGCAAAATCCCGGTTAAAGGTTCTCCGGCAAAGCGGTTTACTGTTTCTCGTGCGTGTGCTCGCGTTTACTAGCGCATGTATCAGAATGCTTCCGCCTCTTAACGAGTCGTTAGTAACGACACGTGTCGGTCGATACGTTTCTATTTACGGCCAAACTTATCTTGCGTATGTTCTCACGTCGACGGAATGTTCGTCGCACGCGAAATCGAGTCGTGCATTTCGAAACCGGATACGCGAAAGATGTACTGTTTGCCCCTTCCCATGTTTTCACGATTTTTTCGAGTGAAATAATCAGGAGAGAATAAACATTAAACAAATTTTCAATTCGATCGCGTCGTGTTATCTTGTATCACCTCATTTCTTGCGCGAATATAATAACGTATAGTCGTAGTCAATAGATAATAGCAATGTAACAATAGTGGTAATGTCCAGTAAAAGATCGAAACTTAAAGTAATACCGTAATACCGCTTGTATATCCCATCAGTATAATTAATTATTAAACAATATGCCAATATAGAAAACAATGTTTAAGGGATTATCCTTTCTTCTTTCTCTCTCTCTTTTTACAATCTTACAAATATAGCTAATTAACAGCACTTCTCTTAGATTCCATATTGAGTTCGAAGGAGAACGATCGCGCCTATCAATTGCTTTTTTCCTTTTTTCCAAAGCTAGAAAAGAATCATAAAAACGATCTCCTCTCACTGCGCCGTATATATTACGCAAATCGTGTTTCCTGTGTTTTGCCTTTTCCTTAAAGATAACATTCTTTTCTTTATTTTACGAAAACGAAGATTTGCGCAGTAAAGGATTAAGCGCGATCGTGCTTCTGCGAGCACGCATTCACGATCCTATTATCACAGTCAACCTCCATCCTCTCGTCTCCCATTATAATCGCAAATGTAATAACGTCTTTTTTTCTTTGAACATTCCTTGTTCTGAAAAGTGCAATTATTATGGAATTTATTCGAATATTGTCCGTTTTTCTACACGTATCAATGTATTATAGATTAACTTCAATTTCGGCTTTTCTCTATTTTTTTTCAGTTCTAAGAATAAAAAAAAGATAAAGAGTAAATTAAATCGAGATTAAAGTAATCTATACATTGGTAGAAATGGACATAAATGAAATATTTTGCGAGCGTTTTCGTGCGCGAGCCGTTTGTCTCGAAAATGTCGCAAGTAATAATGTTTAAACGCGATAAACGTAATTCATTTATTACTTCTCTACCTATAATTTAATAAGTTTAATTACATCAAAATGGCAAGAAACTGCAATAAACATAATTTTTTTGTTACAGTTTACAAAAATTTAGTCAATTAGTAAGTAATAGAAAAAAAAAAAGAATTTTCCTCACTTTTTTTTCATAACAAATAATTACAAAATCATAAATCAGTCAACAAATATTTAGTCGTAAATAATATCACTTTTAGATCTTTTACACCTTAGGTTTTAGATGTGTATATATTAAAAATAAAATCACTAATAAATAAAATCAAGAATAATTAAATTCAAGACTTTTTATATCAAATAAATTATTGAAAAACAAATAAATTATTTATAATTCAATTAAATCAATTAAACATAAATGAATTAAGAACAAAACAAAATTTTAACAAAATTTTTCAAAATATGGTCACTTTCGATACAAACAATTCGCGTGATCGAATCCAGAAGATATATGTTGTCGTATATTACTTCCAGAATCAATCATATAATAGGAATAATTACGCACAAAAGAATTCGATTTCTCTCTCTCTCTCTCTCCCTCCATCTATTTCTCTCTTTCTTTCTTTCTCTTGTATTTCCAGGTCCATCCGAGCTGCGCAATTTAACTCTTTCAGTACCAAACTAAGTATAAGAACATTAGCATCTTTCTCTCATATTAATTCAATGCAATTTTACAGCCGGCGTTCATCAATATATTTCGCTTAACTTTAACTGTCATTAAGTATATACTCCCTTACGCTCGTCGCGGGATACAAATATGCAAACATTAATATTTAGGCAAGTCTTCATTCTTTTCAACTCTTATTTAAATTTGTCAAAAACCCCTTTTCTATTTGTAATATAGTATAGTTTAGTTTATGCTACAGTCTGTAAAGACATCAAGAATCATTTAAATGTCACATTAAAATTATCAGTAAATAACTACAAAGTCACATTTTTCTTTAATTAGTAAAGTTATTAAGAAATTGAAAACTTTACCAATTGAAACTCATTTTACAATAACGCAGAAAATTCTATAGATGTATTCTTTTAATCCGGCCTTTAATCTTCAAATTTTAAAGAAGTAGTGTTCTTCAACATTCAGATCTGTAATTTTGCGCTTAACATAGAACGCTACTATCTCCATTAATAATATTTCATCGTAATTTTTGTTTATAGTAGAGCAAATTAAACTTCTACAATCTCATCGAGATTCATGAGATACTGAGAATGTGGCGAGAACATGGGATGCATTGTAGAATAATTTTTTACTAAATTTTTATATCATTATTAAATGCAGGTTTAAGGCAGGTACTGAAAGAGCTAATGGCGAATAAGGAAAGCGAATTCTATTTCTGTAAATACTTCATCCGTGAAGTATTATCGCACAGCGCGTGTATTACGCGCTACATTAAGATAAGATTATCCAATTGTGATGCTATATCATAGAGTGTCGATCTTGTTAATATATTCTTGTTAATATATTGTTAATATTATTATATAGCAGCGATGATAGAGTAGTGCCCGATTAGCTCGTAATATATAATTATAACGAACAAGTAATCGCGCGAAATATGCGTTGTTAATCTATATCTGTATAGATACTCATATGTATATAATTGTAGATATATACTATATGTATATATACATATACCATTTTTGTTCATTCTATTTTTTTGTCGTACCAGGGCCTAGGTACACGCGTGACTAGCTCAAAAAGAAAAGAAAAGCAAAAACCCTTTCACTCACCCTTTCTTTCATGCACTTACCTTCGTATCTTTGTTTTTTTTATACTTATATGTTTATATATATATATATATATATATGTGTGTCTGAGGTATATTTATCCATATGTGTATGTTTCAGTTAAAACAACGTATAATCCAAATACGGCTCGCGCGGGCGCTCGAGGGTCGCTTTAAAGTTCGCTCGAGAAAGATACGCGCTCGGGATGAGCCCGAGATCTCTCGTTTTACGAGACAGCTGCCTCTCTAAATTCCCACGGAAGTCTAGGTACTAAAACGACAATAACTCCTGTTCGGAGGGAGATGATCGCGCGGTGATCTACTCGTAGAATCGATTCTCGCGATCGTCGACGAGTAGCGCAGCAACGACGAAGACAATGACAACGATAGCAACAGCATCGTTATTCACGAGGCAATGCTACGTACGCCAGTGGGGCGACGGGGCCTCGTGTCGTTTTTTGGCTGAATTGAATCGAGTTCTATCGTCGAGGGCTAACTCGGCGCATCTTCTGGTTCCACCACACCACCGGCCGATCCCGTCTGGCTACCACCCCGGCTCATCGTTACAAATTGCTGCGACAGCGTCTGCAAACTCTGCCGCACCTACCAACAAATATATTCCCTCGTATCAAAAGTAATCACGACACAGTTAATTACTCAGACAATTCGGTTAGACGTTGTCATCAATCATACATCTGATCTATTCTGATTATCTGTGATTTCAATTATCGCGATAAAATCCGAACACCTGGCATGATACATAGTTACAAGCTTAATAAAAATTACTCATGAATTCATCCATCTTATAAAATGATATTTAAAAAATACAAGAACAAATATACATATTCCCAACTTTTGTAGTTGTTTTTAGAGTAATAAAAAATATCTTATTTAATCTTATTTAAATCAATTTAATTAATTTAATTCAATAATTTAATTTAAAGATAAAAATATTTTTTTATTGAGATCAAATATTATCACATACATTATTTTTTAAAATAAAAACCTTATATCTTTAATTCAATTTAATAATCTTACTTATTTCAATAATTATTTAATGTGTGCATTAAATTAAAAAATATCATTTATTTATTGTGAAACCAAAAACTTTATTATAATAATGCCATTATTTCAACTGACACTTTATTATCCACAAATAGTACAACGTAAAATCTATAATGTAATCAATAATAAGAAAAGTAATTTACCTTCACTATTTGATCTAGGTTCGTGTTAAGATAGTGTAACAACCGATCCTGCGTAAAACGTTCCGGCGAGACGAGGGGGTGGTTTAAATAAGCGGTGTGCAGCCTGTCAATACGCATCATCATTAGAGCCGCCGATACGTAAAGAATTGCCAAGAGAGCTACCAGTATCGTTATCACCAGGCCAGGTTTCAATCCATTCGTAAACAAAGATCTCAGTCTATCGGATTTGCTCGGTGTCAGTGTCTTTGTTAATACTGCCGTCTCTAGTCTGAAAGAAAAACGAAAAATAAGCGAAATAAGCTATAATTGCGAAAACAAATTCAAGGTTCCGCAAAGCTGTAAACTATAATTGCAAGAATAGACTCAATAATTCATATTACTTTATATTTATATTACTTTTCAATAAAATATAGAAAAATTTTATAATTTTAAAAAAATTTGTTCATTTGTTAATAACGTGTAATACATGGATCCTTAATTATACGGATATAGAAATAAGAAGACTACCTGACGGGTGCTAAATTGGTGGTCTCAGGAGCACTCTCAGGATTACTGCAAGGATTCGGTACCAAAAGTGGTTCAGTGCCACTCTCGGACACACTCGAATCGTCGTCAACGTCGTCTGGCAGCAGCCTATCTGGCGCGAGACATTTCGTGTCGGTGTCAATCTCCGGTAACGCGACTACCGTCGTTTGCGGCTCCATCGCCGCGTCCCAGACCTGCTTCATCAGCTTGTAGGTAGAATCGCGTGAGAGCAATGAGCAGAAAACGTGGCGTTCTTCTTCAGTGGCCACTGCCACCGCATTCGGTATGATTTTCGCCGTCTTCTCTTTACTGATCTTTAACACCGACACCGTCGGTATCAACAGCTTCGTCACGTAGCCAAACACATTGCTGTAGAATGCGAAGTAGTTGGGCGTGATGTACAGGTGACCTTGTAGCAGGATGTCGCCCACCAGCGCGCAGCTGTAGTAATTCAGTACACGCTCATCCTCGGCCACCTGATAGCGAAATTTCGAAGACTACGCATTAGGTCGGTACTGCCCTTTCACTAAAGCGGTGAGATACAGATGGTCTTTTCTTTCAAAAAAAAAATCCTATTATCTTGTCCATTTGACGCGAATCTTTATGAAATGAATTAAAAAATTTAGGTAGATATAAATTTGAAAATAATTTTGTTGGACCATCACAATAATGGTCCAACGAAATTATTTTCAGATTTATATCTAGCTAAATTTTTAAAAACTGCAGCAAAATTTTTTTCCATATAGTTGATAGTAAAACAAACTTAAATGATCATCGATTTATGAATAGAAAACGCAATGCAAAATATAGTAAAAGTTAATCTTCCGTGATCCAACGTTTTCTTCACTGTTTTTTTAATTCAACCGGACTGAATTGCACTGTTTTAATTCAACCGGACTGTTTTTTACTGATTGTGTTTTTCAAAGGATTTTTTAGACTCTAAAAAATTCTAGCACACTCTTTCAACATTCAAAAATACGATTTTACAATAAATAACCCGAAACGTTTTTCACTTTCTTTATAAATGTTCGAATTTGAAACAGAATAATTAAAAATTGAAAATTCGCCTGGGGATTTACAAAGTCCAAGTTGGATTATAATATAAAGAATGAATATGTGCTAAAATAAAGATTTCATTTTCTCACACTGTTGTAGCATTCAAATTCCTTTCTAAGAAACGCCCTTTACTTGTCGTGCTCGTTTCAAGTTGACACACGATACCTTGTTTATCAAATATCCATCAAACATCAAGAAAGTCTTTCTATTGCGTCACGCTCGCATTCATTAATAATTTCACTTATGTGTGACGCATAAACTATTGTATATTCAACAATAACGTCAATCGATAGAAACGCAAAGCTACTAATAATTAATATAAAATTAATTAAAGCTGTTGATATAATAATTAACGTAATGAATAATTATAATGTAATCCTAATATATTTTAATAACTTATGCATTTCATAAATTATCCTTTTATCAAACACCTGGGACTTTTGTTTCTGTGAAGTTCACCGATAGATGAGGGGAAGTATTTTTATACTGCATGTAGAGGCGTGCATTGACGTATGCGTTTATATCCTACGTCCGGAGACGTTAAAACATTATCTGCGCCGAATGAAGATGAAATGAGTATCGTAACATGATAATGAATCCGGGTTAAGCAAGTTGTGTTACTGATGGAAAAAACAACGTCGTCTACAGAGCGTTCTCTTCTAGATCTTCTCGAACTATCTCGTACTTGTACTATCGTGGATCTTAAGAAAATTTATACCACTTAAACGTATCTGTACCTGACTGAAGTGCCTGTGGAACTTCTTCTGTCTCGCGCTGCTGGTAGTCGGCGACGACCTCGACGAGGCTCTGCTAACCTTTGCTGGAGTTTGCACGCCGCCAGCTGCCATCGATGGAGTACTCCTACTCAGTGGCTTTGAAAGGTGACTGAAAAAAGAAAAATATAAAATAGAAATATATAAGAAAGTTTTTACCGGTATATATTAGATATTACGCAAGAATATATTTAACTTTTAAACACATATTGAGGAAAATTCATCATCCGATCGCGCGTGTAAAATAGAATTAAAGAAAAAATTAATTTTTTTTAAATACAAAAGAATTGTTGAGATAGAAATTGCATTAAGAGTTAGATAATATTGTAATAATTACTATATAGTAATTGTAAAAAAATAATACAATTATTAAAACATTATCATAATAGTGAAAATAAAATATGTGCGTAACAATAATTTTAATTACAAATATAATTTTTAGAATAATAATCATAATCCAGACACATTTCTCTGACATACCTACATATTACAAAATAAAATTATATGTATAATTTATATGTATAATAGATCAATTTGTTTATGCGTAAAATTTTCATATATATATAATCCCAAAAGATCAGTTAAAATTTCCCTTTTCACTTTTCTTTTTGCTATTGCGTTAATGTTGTTACATTAAAAATGTCTTTCACCCTTAAAGATATATTATTAGATAAAAAGAGAATATATATGCTGGTGTTTTGCTTAGATGGCTAAATTTAATGTATCATTCGAACGATATAACTATATAGAAATAACTTTTTACAACATCCGGTTGAAGTCCGGAAAAAGATATCGAGCGTCCAAAAAGTCGCTAATCTTTTCAGAGGTCAGGATAATAACGCTCTATGTATGTTACAAAAGTTATCTTTTCAATGCATTATCAAAACATGGCCAAATCGATGATACTGTTGACATGTTACACTCATGTGTACCGCCATTATGTTTATATAACACGCAGAAGAGTTAAGATTAAAAAACCTTTATTAGACAATAATTAAATGTGATAATTAATTGTAATAAACTTTAAAGAATGTGAAGACACTACGTTTTAAACTAATCTGCGATTTTATATAATATGTATAATATAATTTTATTTTCAATTTAATTTGAAGCTTAAAAACTATCGAGACACATTTAGCAGTTTACATTATAAATTAAAACACACCAAAAAAAATTTCAATTAAGATTTTTGTTCGAGGAAATACACTAGAATCACAAGATTATTCTTATCATTATATTATATCCTCTAGTAAAGCTTATATATTATATCTTATCCTCTATTGAAGCTTAAAAGTAGAATTGCATTACTCCTCTACGTTTTATCTTAAACTATATTACAAATAAATAAGCACTGCTAACTTGCTAGAGTTAATTTGTTCGGGGATTGTTCTGGTTCTCTTTCCTGTAAAGGAAATACTCCATAAATCGTTGCCCCACATCTCCACTCGCGTCCCCATCGTCGAATTTTTTATTGTACCTCGTTTTTCACGTTTTGAAAATTGAAACAATCTCATGCGTCTAGTCTTTTATTGATACAGTTGCAGTTCATACAATGGATTACAGTTTCATGTTGAACGGTGACAAAACTCACGTATTGTTGAAAAATGCGGAAACCTTCACCTTTGAAAATTTAATAAGATAGATATAGATAAAATATATCTATTTTATTCAAATTATTTTATTTAAATTATTTCAGACTAACGAAGATTATCTTTTGTTCAAATTATTGTTTCTTTCAAGCATTAAAGAGAATGCAAGGAAATGTATAAATCAAATTACTGCATCAAATCTACATTTTTCGCTAAAAAGTAAAGTTAAAATTTTTTTAATTCTTCACCTTTTTCGCCAATTTAATCAATAAAATAATTTAAATAAAACTGTTAGGTAAAATTTTAATAATTTAAAATAAATTATAAATAAGTCACAGAAATTTATACCTTCGTAAGAGGCCTGTCTGAATTTGCATATTCTTTTTGAACTTAAATATTCAAGTTCAGAGAGTATTTAAAAATATAAGAAAATATAAACAACTAAATAGTCTCTCTTCTCTTTCTTACAATAAAATTAATTATAGCAAGATAACATTTTTTTGTTTATTAAAATACTGTATTGTAGAAATTCGAAAGTAATATTCGAGTGATTCAATCCGAATCACCGATTCATTTCCCCGATCGCGCCGCGTATCGTGCGATTTTCGCACGTGAAGACAATCCGTCCGACGCGTAGCATAACGCATAACTAGCTGGTTCACGATCCGTGGCTTAACTATCCGCTGCCGGCGGCAATGATAACACGTGGGAGACTGTCTGGAGCGGCCGTTGTGCCATCTCGCTCGATTAAGAGGCTCGTCGGAACCGAAATGAACAAAAAAAAAAGTCACATGACGATAACTGACGGATGTAATAAGCGGATTCGATGATAACAAGTGACGAGATAAACATAGCAGATAGAAATTCGAGTGTGATAAGATTCGCGAAAGTTAATGGAATATCGGCAGGAATACAGGCGCGAGTTTTGCAATTTATTGGTATAATTCGGCGAAAACGTGCACAATCGAGGCGCAGCAGAAAACGGACAAATTTTTTCTTTCGGTATTACATCTTCGTCCGTTCAATATTAAGATCCGTGACATATTGCACGTCTCCTTGATGTGACTTGATACTTTTTATTGGGATTATCTTTCGTGATACATATATGCCATGATATATATATGATTATACACAGAACGTTTATTGTAATCTTTAGTGTATACCAGTTATCAAAACTGACCTCTAATCCCTCTCTTTGTTAAAGAAATAATTACTTCTGTAGAATAAATATGTTGTGTGTGTGTGTGGATGAGAAATATATAGTTTTTTTTAAGTATTCATTAGATTGAATATTAATGAGAACTTAATATTAAAAAAAAAACGAATCGTAAACATATTTATCTGTAATATTTGTTTCTTTCACCAGAATTAATAAAGGTGTTCTGTAGAAAAAGTATAAATGCGCGGATCTCTTTCATTGAAAAAATTCAAATTAAACCAGATTTGTAAATACTGAAAAAATTGTGTATATTACTCTTTTAATAGAAAAAAATGTCATGTTTGTAAAAAAAAATTATTACAGTAAGAAGAGTAGAAATTTTACAAAAGAATTTCTACGTAAAAAAATTTTATGATAGAAACCTTATCGTATTTTTTGTAAAAAATAGGATTCTTTTAAATTTGTTTAAGAAGAATTGCTAATTTTTTTTTATTTGTCAAAAACAAACAACAAAATATTTATATTTTGTACCAAGATGGTTTAGTCACAAAAGGCAATTTTGCTCAGATAATATGCGCGACGTCATGCTTTGTACTGTAATAACCATTTACGGACAGCATGCATGGAGCGGCTATTGTAAGAATGGCCGCAAAACATTCCCATATGATTGAACTGTTTCAAAACACAATTCTGTTCTCAACGTGATTTAACGCTACAAGTGCTGTCTAACTCCGCGTTAAACATGCGATGATAATGTCGACCTATATCGATGCTCTGCTTGCAAATTGCTTCTTTTTAATGCATGAGGAACGAAAATCTGATTTTACAAGTCTTATATTATCTATTAAAATCGATGTATTTCATCGATCTGTATTTCATAAACATTTCATAAAAACGGAGAGTATTATGTAATGAAACGATAACGTACGATTAAAAACAGATGCATCTAATTTAAGCAATTAATATATATCAAGTATATTATTTACGTGTACTATTGTTTAAAATAAATAAAAAAAATTATACCAGTAAAAACTTCGTACTGTCTACTATTATAAAGAAAGTATTAAAACCGAAATACTTATTTTTCATATCTTAAAATTGGCGAATTTTTTTTAATGCATAACTTTTTTTTGGAGGGTGGACAAATGAAAATAACGGGTGGACAAACGTGGACAAACAGTGGACAAACGAATGCAATAATGATTTTACCAATATTCGCATTTAAGGTGCCAACTTCACAAAACAGCTCTATAAAGTTGGAATCTGTAAATGCGAATATTGGTAATATCATTATTACATTCGTTTGTCCACTGTTTGTCCACGTTTGTCCGTCCGTTATTTTCATTGGTCAACCATCCAAAAAAAAATTCTGCACAAAAAAAAATTTTAACACCCCCAAGTGATTATTTTACACTATTACGAAAAATATAATAAACATAGGGTGGACAAACGAAAATAAGGGGTGGACAAACGTGGACAAACAGTGGACAAACGAATGCAATAATAATTTTACCAATATTCGCTTTAAGGTGCCAACTTCACAAAGCAGCTCTGTAAAGTTGGAATCTGTAAATGCGAATATTGGTAATATTATTATTACATTCGTTTGTCCACTGTTTGTCCACGTTTGTCCACCCGTTATTTTCATTGGTCCACCCTCGAAAAAAAAGTTATACACAAAAAAAATTTTAACACCCCCAAGTGATTATTTTACACTATTACGAAAAATATAATAAACATAGGGTGGACAAACGAAAATAAGGGGTGGACAAACGTGGACAAACAGTGGACAAACGAATGCAATAATGATTTTACCAATATTCGCATTTAGGGGTGCCAACTTCACAGAGCTGCTTTGTAATAGAATAATTCACTTGGATAGAAAGGGAAGTCGCAATTCTTAATAGTAATGATAGTAATAAAAAAAGAATGTTAATTAATTGCGTGCATTTCTAAAATTATTTCCTTTATGAGTCTTCTATTTTTTGTTGAAATTACGCCGACAAAAGAGTGGCCTGGCTTCGCTAATATTATCACGACAAATGTACCGTAATAATATTTATATACCATAAATAAATGTAGTTATCAGCGGCATTCGATAATTATGATGTGGCAACTATCTCGAGAAACGTATTTCCCAGTACACAAACAACAAGTTAATTATACGGTCTTATCATGAGAGCATATAACACATCTTACTTTTCATTATAATCTCTCTTTCTCTCTCACTCCCTTCCTCTCCCTTTCCACACTTTTCTGCAATTCGTGTACAGGTGTGACATTATCACGCCGCTGCACGGTGATAATTTTCTAGGATCGATAACACAACTTCTCGTGCGAATTATTTAACTTGCGGAAGCAGAGTTGACAATAATATTAAAAACGATATCAACAACGTTAATAAAAAATTTGTGCGTTACAAAAATGGCGTTAATAAAAAAAAGAAAATCATTTATCATTCTTACCGCAACAAAACATCGTTAACAGAATATTGCTCAATTTCCTGCATGCGACAATAATTACGATAATTATAAAGCGTAAGTAGTCTCTTTTTAAAATTAAATAAAATATTTAACAAAAATTAATACTTTATTCAAAAAGAGATAAAGTCTTATCTTATTAACTATGTCACATGATGTATAGGTATATGATTATCTACAATACTTTTACTTAAAATAAATATTTATTTCGACCTAGTTTCTCCCTAGTTTCCAATTTATTTATAGGAAACTGTATAATGTATAATATTTATGCACATGGTAATCTTAAAACAATATGTTATATCACAGAAAAATATTAAAAACGCCGGAGGTATCGACACTTCGTTTCGTGCAAGAAACGCATCAGGTTCAAGGTCATAAATCCAAGTTGCAGCAAGCGCAACGGCGTCGAGCGAGCTTTACGACAGCGGAATCTCACCTGTCATTACATTTCAAGGCCGCGTGACTAGGACTCCTCGGAGGCTGAGGATAGCTGGCGCCGGCCACGGTGAGTTGAGACCCGCTGATCGATTGTTGGCCCCCGGCTTCGGGAGCAGCTTGTAGAGGCGTGCTGGGTGCCGATCGCGCGCCTATGGACCCCGCAGACCTGCGAACAAGATGGAAGATGGAACTTGAGGGATTGATGAAATTGCAAAGAAACTCGGGGAAGAAAAGCTGCACGACGATTTTTAAAATTTTTCCTCCCTTTTATGCATGTTTTTTATCTTCAGACAGAACTTGAGTATAAATGTCATCAAAAATACATATTACATTAATAGCATTTATTTGAAAAATAACATAATTGCAAAATTTCAACATTTTTTTTAGTTTCTCGTACATATCGATTAGAGTGGAAAAATATCAGTTACTCAGTTTTATAACATAACTGATATGTTATCAAAATAATTTACACAGTCATTTCTATCGAATAAATATAGTAATCAAGTAATCGATGCTTGATTTAAAAATCGATCGATAAAAATAATATTGCTTCAATTTTTTAGTTTCACTTTATTAAAATATAAAATAAAAATGTAACGTTAGAAAATTGATTTGATCAAAAATTACACGCATATGCTGATAAAGATTTATATTATCTATTTTATTACATCTAAATATTATGATATTACACTAATATTAACTACAATTTTAAGATAAGCATATGTAAATAATCTCGTGTGTGACATAATTATGCGCAGTCGGTTTTAAGTAATTCTATTTTAAATTTTAATGTCAAAAGTCTTCATATCGTATATAGATCTTCAATTTGGGGATAAGATATCGATGATATTATTTACTTTCTTTAAAAGTTAATCACTGTCACAAATCATCACGTACCTGGCCCTGGTAAGTGGCCGAGACGAGAAGCAAAAGTTGATCAGCGCCTGGGTTTCAAACTCCATCATCGTGAAAAAAGGCCAATGTTACGAAATAATACTGTTACATTATCTCCAAGATGGTATCTGCGAGATTTCCATTTTCGAGATGCAAGAAGACTATCACATTGTATTAAAATTTCAACGCCGGTTACCAGTTCATTGGCAATCGATGTGAGCTCCGCGAGCAATCTGCGTGGTTATCAGACAGACATCGGCAAATATTGAAATGAATCTTGGTAAAAATTATTATTATCGAAAATTGCGACGAACGTCAGGGAGATATGAATCGACGGGATGATTCACCGATATATTTAACTGCACATAGTTAGAATTTTCCTTCGAACAGCGACTAACGATGTGGCTGATACTGCACTACCATCCACATCTGCTCGGCATGTTAACGGTCAATTTTATCTGCTTTTATCTGACTTATCGCTCAAGTTGGATTATGAGCGCAATCGTATTACAGAAATAGTCGAAGTAGTGGGCAGCGATTAATACGAAAACAGAAGGGAAATATAGTACTATAGTAGTGATTAATATTACTGCGAATCGAGTTTAAACGAGTTGGTCGCTCGCCAATTTTGGCGGTTGCGAGAAGAGAAAAAGGTAAAGAGATGAACAACAAGATCAGAGACGAGAGAAAATCGAAGAGAAAAGGAAAAAGGGAAACTGCCTGGATGGGATGAAGCCAAACGGGGCGAAAAGACGAGGTGACTAACGAACCAGTTTCGGTCTTCTCTTCATACTGCGAAAATAACCACACCTCACTACATGGGTTGGTTCAACGAGCCAGGCCAGACTGCCTTTAACAAGCGACAGCGGCTCGCCATGACCGCTGCAATGCACAATGAGGCGAGCGAACACGCGGAAAAAGAGGGGCTCTCGTCGCGAAACGGAACGAACGATCGCAGGCTCCGTTCAGTAGAAACCACGTTCGTAACGATACTTCCTGAAGATCCCTCTCTTCGATTGCCGCCACTTAGCGCCCATCGATCGCACGGCTAGTCTTGCGAGGAAGATGATGCCCATCTCGAAGCGGTGATTTTTTCGGTGGAGAGAAAACGAGTATCTACCTCGTGAAAGCAATCGTACCGAGCCAGCGGTTCGATCCTCTCGTCGTGAAGAAGAGTTTAGGAGTGTCGACAAGTGTTGATGAAAATGGACGGAAAAATTGCGAGACTGAGCACAAGGAACGATGAGAGTCAGAGAAGCTGATGACGAACGAGAATCACGCGAGTCCGGTACTCCACGGACCAGCCGGGATATCAGACTGGTCGCTGTTGAACACACTTGAAGTTTCTTACCCATCGGCCGACCTCGCGACCTTTTTCATAATTGACAAATCCGCGGGTGTACACCTGCCTATGTAATGGAAGCTCTATAGCTCGTGTTCTAGAGTACTTGTACTTAAATTACACGAGGTGTACGACACTGCATGATCAGATCGAATATCACGTACGTTAAGAAACTCGAAGACGGAAATTGACACCGAAATAAAAATTCATCGATGGCGAATCATTTACTGTTAACGATATATAATGTTAAGCATTACAATTGGTTAAAATGCAGAATAGACATTATCCTTTTCGGACTATCAAAATAACTGTGTACGTCTAAAGTAGGTAATATGACGCCTAAAAGTTGATGGTAATTTGCGAAAAGTTTTAACATTCTAGACAGACTTAGGAGTCCTACATAATTATTTTTTGATGATCGAAACAAAAGTATCTAATTGAATTTTTAAATACTTCGGCAAAACCGAATAATAAAAAGAAGTAATTACTTTAAAAAATTAAAGTTATTCTATATATTTATAAATTATGCATATATTGTGTAATATGTATGTAAATTGATGTTCGGAATCATATATGTAAACAAAAAATAAATCTGTATAAATAAAATGTGTTATACATTAAATCTGCAACAAGAAAATAATAACAAATTATTGTAATTACGATTACGCAAAGTGTAAAAAAAAAAAGATACATGAAACTTCGCTCCAGTTTGCGTCACTATACGGATGTCTGAATAAACGTCATTCCGGCAAATTGATGCGTGCGGAAACACACGCTCGAGTTTCCCGAGCAATGCGACACTTCACTGAACAGAAAGAAAGCGTTAAATATTTAGCCGTTAAGCATTGGTGCCTTTGGACTGGAAAAGAGTATATGCGTCAACTCGCATTCTCTGGCAGTCTCCCAAAAGGTCGAAATGCTCTTTCTCTCGTGCTGCACATTAATAAGAGATAGACAGAGAAGGATGAGAAAACAGTATTAATGTGTTTTCAAGTTTCCCCCCGGTCTAAAAACGAACACCGACAAAAGCAAAGCGGATCGCATCTATATTACGCTCGTTAAACCGTATTAATAATAATCCCTCAAATACCGTGAAGTAAAAATATACGTAGAGAAATGTGTGTACACGGAAAAATTATATAAATAACTTTTTAACGTGAAAAAGATGGTTTTGCTGTAATACCTAAATATCAGCTAGTAAAATCGTTCTTTCCACGATACACATATGTATACTATACTTTTAATTTTTGTGCTCATACACACAAACGAACACAGAAAGATAAAAGTAGAAATACAAAAGTATTAAAAAATATAGAGATAAAATTATAAGCAATTAATATTAAAATTACAGATAATTTTGTGCTATGGAAATAACAATATTGAATCAACTGGCTACGTAATAGTTCGCCCGAGTTCGCCTATACCCCAATTGAAAACAAACACATATGAATAAAAAAACATGATATGAAATTAATTGACTTATTAATCACTTAAGTCGCGAGATACGCGATTGATCGCCGGCTACTTCAGCGTAAAGGTATAAAGTACACGTGCGCGATGCCGACGACGTGCCGGTCTCCGGGAAGTGCAGTTGGGACTATTATTATCTTATACCACGCAGTCATGGACATATAACACGGAATTTGATTATGGGCTCATTCTCTGTCTCTCTCTATTCCTCTCTCCCTCTCTTTCCGTGAGCACGATATCAATAAAGCGATGCCCACCACGCGTAGTGTCGTGGCGACCTGCATTATTGAGATGCGCCAGGTGTTCGCCGATTGCGCGAAGTCTTTCTTGAAGGCCGCAAAAAGACGTCATGCGACATGACACTTATACAAAGTTTTGTTTTTGTTGTACGTCTGAAAGAAGTGTCTGAAAGTTACGTCCTGTGCCAGGACACTGCGTAACTTGGTGCGACAAAATGGAAATGTTTCTAGAAAATCGATTCAGGGGGCAATCCAATAAAGAAAATAAACGTCACTTAATGGCGACATCCATTAAGTGTTATTAAAAACGAAATATGTATTTAAAGTAAACAATTGTAAATAGAAATCAGACTAATAAGAATAAGAAATGAGAAGAAGAATCTTATTTTCAAGCGGATTCTGTTGCTTAATAATATTTGTATGCATATTTATTATTCATTAACATAAAAATTATAGATTTATATATTGTATATATATTCACAAATTTACATATGAATATTATTAAGCATCAGCTTGACCGAAAATAAGATTTTTTCTCTTATTTAACTTCAGTTAAAAAACTTTAGAAAATCATATATGTAGGTTTATATGTTTTATGTTTTTCATGTGTTGTGTGTGTTTTTATGTTATTAAATTTTATATGTATAGGTCTATAATTCTTAATAAATAATAAAAGTATTCAAATGTGAGTGTAATGTGGAATAAATAACGGTCGATAATTCAATTAATTTACTCAACTGATATAATTATTATCAACATTATAGATATTTTAAACTTATTCGTTAGATATGATCACTGTTAAAAATCGAATAAATCTCGATAAACGTCTTTTCGAATTTGCGTAACTTTCAAGATAATCTTCAGCGTGTCAGACAACCGTGAGTTAAGATAATGGAGACAGAGAAAGACACTTTATTTCAACATCACGCGAATTGTCGGAAATACATAGATACGGAGATGCTGTTGCATGCATTTCCTTGACGACAAATGCGTTTGCATATTTATCGTTTCAACACCATCGATCTGTTGGCTGATTTCTCGAAGATATCAGCTTAACGCCTGCCTATTGTATGAGAAAATTATGTACGTGACACACGTCTTTCAAAACGCGTTTTTTAAGAGAGACGAATGCAACGTCGATTTATTCATGACAGCATAAATTTATATGAGAGAATAAATTACCATATGAGAGAATATTAAGATAACTAGTTTTTATTATAG